CCCAGTGCAACTGGGAGGAACTGGTATGCTCCAGCACCGCCCCCCCAAAGGCTAGCTGGAGTGGTGAGGGGTGGGAGGGAGCCCAAGCTCTCTGAGACGACTTTTGGGTGTGTATATCAAACGAAACTAAAATATTGGTTGCTCCGTTCTGTTAAAGTGGAATCATGCAAATATGCCTACGTCTGGAGGCGGGAGGCTGTGGGAGCATGTGTACTCACTGAAGCATTATGTGCAGGGGTAAAGACTGGTGTGGAGGCTATTTGCAGTTCTAAGGATTTTCCCCTCTGCAATCTGGTGAATATTTTACCTATGAATAGCCGGAGCAATGAAGAGTCAAGGGGTTAGAGCGACACACAACCTGCCCTCGTGTTCTTCAGTTGTTGATAGACTCCAACTCCCATCAGCAATGACCGTTGGCCACATTTGCTGGGGCTGATGGCAGACAGAGTCCTACAAGATCAGGAGTTAAATAACCTTCCTAACAGAAGCCCATGGGAACACTTTCTGAGACAATGAGAGCAAATTCAAACCCCTCCGAGATAAGAAAACATCAAATGTGATCAATTGTGCTTTTAAGTCACAAGGATTTGGCCCCCTGGTCCTGAATGGGGTAACTGTGCCCCTGAAGGACCAGGTGCACAGCCTGGGAGTCATTCTGGACTCACAGCTGTCCATGGAGGCACAGGTCAATTCTGTGTCCAGGGCAGCTGTCTACCAGCTCCATCTGGTCCGCAGGCTGAGACCCTACCTGCCCGCAGACTCAGGTAGGGTCTCCCGCTTGGACTACTGCAATGCACTCAATGTGGGGCTTTGAAGGTGACCCAGAAACTACAACTAATCCAGAATGCAGCAGCTAGACCGGTGGCTGGGATGGCTGCTGGGACCATATAACTCCGGTCTTGAAAGACCTACACTGGCTCCCAGTACGTTTCTGAGCACAATTCAGAGTGTTGGTGCTGACTTTTAAAGCCCTAAATGGCCCCCATCATTCAGCCCGGACATTGAAGTCCAGCTCTGAGGGCCTTCTGGTGGTTCCCTCCCTGTGAGAAGTGATGTTACAGGGAACCAGGCAGAGGGCCTTCTCGGTAGTGGTGCCCGCCCTGTGGAACGCCCTCCCAACAACTACCTGATGTTTAGAAGACTTCTGAAGGCAGCCCTGTTTACAGAAGTTTTTAATGACTGATGCTTTAATGTATTTTTAATCTCTTGTTGGAAGCCACCCAGAGTTGTTGTTGTTAGGTTATTATTAGCACCTGTGTGGGAGAACCGCCTACACCGCCCTGAATCCAGCACTGTTTAGAAAGGAGTGAAAGGTTATGAATAACTTTTGCAACTCAAAAAAAGAAAGAGGAATCTGTCTCCAGCTTTAAAGAGCATTCATTCATCTTTTCTGAGGCAATAATGACATCATGTGGCGACATGGATTCATTACAAATAAGCTTTTTCTGGAAATTCAGGAGGAGCAAGCAAAGTGCCCTCAAACTCAGGTGTCCATGCAGAAAAAGGTCAACTTGACACCTGATAATCCTGAGAACAAATGAGAGTCACTTTCTCCATTGCTTTTGGCCTAGTCCTCTTTCAAAAGGCTCAAAGCAAGTTGAATGCCCCTCCTTCTTGCATTGTATCCAGTCCAATTTAGGATGACTTTTAGTAGGAAACCCCTTTGTCATGTAGGGCAAGTAGTTTGATCTCGGAATCTGTCAGTAAAGCTTGTCGTTGATGTGGATCCAAACATAGTGATCTGCTCATTACGGGAGACCAATTGGCTGTTAAGGACAACGCTATAGGACCCGCCCTGTGGAACGCCCTCCCACCAGATGTCAAAGAGAAAAATAACTACCAAACTTTGAGAAGACATCTGACGGCAGCCCTGTTCAGAAAAGCTTTTAATGTTTAATAGGTTATTGTGTTCTAGTGTTTTGTTGGAACCTGCCCAGAGTGGCTGGGGAAACCCAGCCAGATGGGTGGGGTATAAATAATATATTATTATTATTATTATTATTATTATTATTATTATTACAGTGGTGCCTCGGAAGACGAAATTAATTCGTTCCGCGAGTTTTGTCGTCTTGTGATTTTTTTTTGTCTTGCGAAGCACGGTGTCGGGAAAGTTTTGGAAAAGCTTCAAAAATCACCAAAGTCTTCAAAAACCTCAAAAAAGGCTACCACACTGCGTGCTATGAGTTGCTCCTCGAAGTCAAGTCGCAACTGTATTAACGGTGTTAAGAAAAGGAAACAAACTTGCAAGACGTTTTCGTCTTGCGAAGCAAGCCCATAGGGAAAATCGTCTTGCGAAGCAGCTCAAAAAACAAAAAACCCTTTCGTCTTGCGAGTTTTTTGTCTTGCGAGGCATTCGTCTTGCGAGGTACCACTGTATTATTATTAGCTCAAAAGATGCTTCACGAAGGAGAAATCAGATTCTGTGTGCATTTAAAGCCGTATCTCTCAAATTCTGCTTTCCAAAACAACGAGCAAACCAAAACACAGCTATTCTTCAAAACTTGCACTTATGCAAGTTTCGCAATGCGGTGCTCAAACCTGATGATGTCTATAAGAATGAATATACATGGTGACGGCCACTGCAAGAAGCCTCCTGGCCCAAAGATGGAAAGCACAAGATATACCAACCATCCAGGAGTGGCAGGTGAAGATGACAGAATTTGCAGAACTTGCCAAAATGTCAGGGAGGATCCGGGACCAGGCTATGGTAGCCATCAACTTTGTGGCCTTTGCCTTCTTTCTAGAGAGCCTCCTTCTTTCTATGCATGGGAAGGCAACAGGGTTAAGTATAGTACAGTGGACCCTCCGGATACACCCAAAAAGTACGTAAATAGAAGTGTGTTTCTGTGCAAAGCCAGAAGTATACATTTCCGGGTTTGCCGTGGCCGTAACCTGAAGATTCCTTATCCAGAGGGATATGTAAGTAGAGGTACGACTGTAATTTAATTCACTGAAATTGTATGTTTAAATTTTACTGATCCATAATTGATTTCTAGAGAGTTCTCTAGTAGTTCTCATGTGCTTGGCTAACATTGGTCAGATGGTGTCAGGGACTGGGCAGATGAAGAGGAGTGGTGGAGACCACCTCCCCAGGGGTCTTCCAGAGAGGAGGAAGGGGCAGAGAGTATAGACCTCCAGGAGGGGTTTGGCAGAGGGCACACTCCAGAGGACAATGAGGGCAAAAGCTGGGAGATAATGGGAGATGAGGTGGAGGACTTTGATAGCATTCAACAGGCAGAGCCTAAGCAGCAGTTGAAAGAGACACTGTCACTTGAGAGCCTCCCAGAACCTGTACCTTCCCCCCAAACCAGGTGTTCGCTGAGGATAGCAGAGAAGAAAGCTCAAAGTCAAGTGGTCCTGACCAGCTGCCATCAGAAGTAGGAGGAGTCTGATGAATAGGGAAGTAACAGAGAAGAGGGTGGAGCTTCACAGAGCAACGTTAGTTACTGAACGGTGCTTCATGGAGGTGTCTTGATAAAAACAGAATGGAAAAGCTCGCTGTGTCCCTGCCTCTCTGCTTTTCTGGGCAATTGACCAGATGTTGCCAACAGCACCCTCACACATGGTTTATCTAGTTTAGGTTATCTAGTTTAGGAGAGACTCCATTTCATGTGAAGCAAGATGACTGTGTTTTAAGATCCACTGTGAATACTGCTAAGTTGAATGGAGTGCTGGAGTGCTTCTTCTCTGCTTGAAAGAGGACCACACTGCAGGAGAAGGTAAAAGTGGACATCTCTCGTAGGAGCTACAGAAGGCTGAGTGCTGAGCTCTGGAAAGACAGGGAAATACAGCTGCTTGGAAGTTAGAAGAAGAGACTTTAGGCCCATGCTTGAATAAGCATGTGACTGTAAATATTACGTTTTAATTAGTAATCTGTAACTCTAAGTTTCCACAAGTAAAGTTTTCAAATGTTAAAGTCTGGACTCTTCGTGACCCCATGGACCAGAGCACGCCAGGCACTCCACTGCCTCCCGCAGTTTGGTCAAAGTCATGCTGGTAACTTTGAGAACACTGTCCAACCATCTCATCCTTTGTCGTCCCCTTCTCCTTGTGCCCTCCATCTTTCCCAACATCAGGGTCTTTTCCAGGGAGTCTTCTCTTCACATGAGGTGGCCAAAGTATTGGAGCCTCAGCTTCAGGATCTGTCCTTCCAGTGAGCACTCAGGGCTGACTTCCTTCAGAATGGAGAGGTTTGATCTTCTTGCAGTCCATGGGACTCTCAAGAGTCTCCTCCAGCACCATAATTCAAAAGCATCAATTGTTCGGTGATCAGCCTTCTTTATGGTCCAGCTCTCACTTCCATACATCACTACTAGGAAAACCATAGCTTTAACTATGCGGACCTTTGTTGGCAAGGTGATGTCTCTGCTTTTTAAGATGCTGTCTAGGTTTGTCATTGCTTTTCTCCCAAGAAGCAGGCGTCTTTTAATTTCGCGGCTGCTGTCACCATCTGCAGTGATCATGGAGCCCAAGAAAGTAAAATCTCTCACTGCCTCCATTTCTTCACCTTCTATTTGCCAGGAGGTGATGGGACCAGTGGCCATGATCTTCATTTTTTTGATGTTGAGCTTCAGACCATATTTTGCGCTCTCCTCTTTCACCCTCATTAAAAGGTCCTTTAATTCCTCCTCACTTTCTACCATCAAGGTTGTGTCATCTGCATATCTGAGGGTATCTGTCATATATATATATATATGATTTGAGCTTCTTAGCCGTGATTTTGCTACTCTTACTTCAACAAACAGTCCCATGCCATATGTACAGTATATGATCATTATTATAATAGCTGCTTATTTCTGCCTCCATGCACAGCTTACCTAGGTCTACACTGCCTTGCTGCGCATTATTTTTCCAGGCTTGGAGAAATCTGTTTCTGATGCTTGCCAAATTATAGACTGTGTGTTTGGTAGAAGCCAGGAAGAAGGTGGGGCTGGAGTATTCAAGTCCTTGCCCAGCCAATTAGACGAAGGACAGAGCCAGAGGAGGCCAGGCCTTTTGTATCTGTGCTCCTTGTGATTTATTGGCACTAATTACCAAGGCACTTAATGGCTGGTTCTGGATGGGAATTAATTCTGGCCTGGTGGATAAATAATGCACGATGGTTTATTTAGCTAAATGGAAGGCAGCAGAGAAGAGGCTGCTGCAGGCAGGAGCTTGCTGCAGACAAACAGGACAAGAGATGCTGCGATCTGAGTACCAGTAAGATGGGGAAGAGGAGGGCAGGATGATGAAGACGAGGAGCAAATTGTACTTGCAATCAGGAGGGCTATGTTGAGTCCCAAGATAAAACAAGCCAGGAGAGGTGAGTAGGGCACGGATCTAACATTACCTCCGAAGGTAGACCATAACAACCTTGTTTTCAAGTGTCATGAGATCAAAACAGGAAACTTTTCTGGCTCCTCGTATCGCCAATACAAATTGTGATATTGAACGCTATCAAGGCTGCCACGGCATAAATATCTCGCTGCTCCAAAATTGTTTCTTGAGTTCTGAGAGGCAGGTGGGGGTGTATTCATCCCAGGTAGAGATGTATCTTGTTTTGCTGGTGCTTTAGAGAAGGAAACTCAGTGTAAGTGTGTGTGTGTGTGTGTGTGTGTGTGTGTGTGTGTGAAGAGGATCTTGTCCGTTTTCAAGTGCAAGGCTTGTGTTCTGGAACTGGCCCTTGTGGTCTATTCCAACTCTATGATTCTATGGGGAGCAAGTGGGGTTTGCCTTGCCGCATTGTAACTTTTATCTGCTCAGTTGTGCCTGTAAAGTTCCCTAGTAATATGTACTGTGTTCTCTTTTCAACGTAATACCATTTAAAGTATGGGTGGCCATGTTGCAAAAATGTGTGTAGAAATGAATGGATTGTGTCCCTTGTATGCTGAAAAATTGACGGTGAACAAGCGCCACAAAACTGCACATAGTGGTCTGGGCTCCCAATGTCTTTTGATTTCTCTCAAAGAGCTGTGAGGGGAGGGGAAACTTAGCTCAGGACCAAGGCGTGGACCCTCGCATCTCAATATCCCAGCATGGCCAATGGCCAGGGATGATGGGAATTGTAGTTCGTCAACATTTGGACACCCACCCCTGCTATATCCCTTATGAAACATTCATTGTGATCTATTTAAACTAAACAAAACACAGGAAATAAAGCCAGCCTGCTCTGGAAGAAGCCCTTGACAGAACAGAAACCTAGATTTGCCAGCTACGTGAGTACAGGAATTCGGTCGGCTTGTTACCACAGAGCTCTTAGCTCTCCACATCTTGATGAAACAGGCAGATTTAGAGCCTCCATTAGCGAAAGATATTACCAGGGGGATACATTCTGCAGCCTTGGACTGTTGCTGATGCAGTTCTGCACTCAGCATTGATTCTGCAGTTCGTGGCCTGAGTTATTTGTGCCATTTTCAGGCCGGCATTAATCCCCGCTGAGCCTCTTTTCACCTGTCAAAATAAGGTAGCACAGGCAGTTTTCCATAGCCTGAGCAATGGAAAGTCAATCTGTGCAGAAAGAAATGCAGAGTAACCTCCCCACATGCCTTCATAACTTGGCTTGGGCTATTTAGTCATTCTATAAACTTATAGTCTACCCCTCAACATAAACTTCAGTTCACTTTTAATTTAGAAAAGTGCTGCTGATACTATCATAGCTTGACAGATGTGGGTGCTTTTCCTAGGGTGTTTCTATGGCGTTGTCATTGTGTCATTTTCAGTACAGTGGTACCTCGGTTACAGACGCTTCGGGTTACAGACGCTACAAGTTACAGACTCCGCTAACCCAGAAATAGTACCTCAGGTTAAGAACTTTGCTTCAGGATGAGAACAGAAATCGTGCGGCGACAGCGGGAGGCCCCATTAGCTAAAGTGGTACCTCAGGTTAAGAAACAGTTTTCAGGTTAAGAATGGACCTCCAGAACGAATTAAAGTCTAACCTGAGGTACCACTGTATTTAAAAACACTCAACCATGGGTAGGCAAACTAAGGCCTGGGAGCTGGAGTCGGCCCAATCACCTTCTCAATCCAGCCCACAGATGGTCCGGGGAATCAGCGTGTTTTTACATGAGTAGAATGTGCCTTTTATTTAAAATGCATCTCTGGGTTATTTGTGGGGCATAGGAATTCGTTCATCCCCCCCCCCCCAAAAAAATATAGTCTGGCCCCCCCCACAAGGTCTGAGGGACAGTGGACCGGCCCCCTGCTGAAAATGTTTGCTGAGCCCTGCAAGTCAAGGCCAATTGGCCCAATACTGAGTTCTTCTCAGAAGAACAACCCAGCTGATTGGCCGGGCTACTTATTTTCTGGGACTTTTCTGGGTGCTTCATCGCTAGCCCCAAATATTGCAGAGTGTGTACACATTTAATATCTCAGTCAGCCCTGAACTAGATGCGGCATGAAGTCATGTGCATATTCAACCCCTGACTTCCTTTTTAAAAAAACCAAAAGCTGCAGCAGTAGACTTGGAGCTATGGGTGCCATCTGTTCCATTTCCCTCACTCTGCACAAAAGCCTAGGAAGAAAAACTGTCCGTTCTTGTATCTCTTTTCTGCTTCTTACGCCTTCGTAACACCACTCTTAACAGCCCCTGCTAGCCAGAGAACTTTAATGCCTTGCGCGTGAACTTTGTGGGGAAAGCTGATATAATAACATCCAGCTTTCCCCAATGCATGTGGTAAGAATTATTTATGTTTCCGTAAGAGGGCTGCTGTTGAACATTAGAACGGCCTTGGACCTGAATGGTCTGGCCACAGGAAGCATTTGCAGGCTGAAATCACGGGGCCTTCAAGCCTTCAACAACCCCAAACTTCAAATAACATCCTTTTGTGGCCAGAAAAAGGCCCACAGGGGCTTGCAGGGCTGTCAAAAAATAGCCTGGGTTTGTGAAGCATGAGCGCTTCCATGATCTCTGGCTTCCTTCAAATGCTTCAGTTACTGTGCTGGGACAAGGGGCAAATCTCTCCCCTAGCTGGGCGTGCTGCCAACCCCACCACCACCAGTGTCAGGGAAGGTGGGGTGCCTTTGGGGCACTGCCTCGGGGGTTTCTGATGCCCAGGGCAGCTGCTTCACCTCACCTCATGGTCTGGGACCCTCTTGCCCCAAGGTATCCCTGCAATATGGTGTTCCCTTCTGTTATGTACTGAAGTTCTCACCCTGGGCCAGCAGGGGGGATACTTTAGATAGTTCAGGTCCACATATGCAAATAAGGGTTTGAAACTGACGTCCAGTGATTGGATAGTTACAGAAAGTTGTTACAGTTACGTTGTACTGAAGCTCTATATAAGCAGGCTGGCTGAACCCTTCAGTTCAGTTCTGTTCTGGCCTGTGAATAAACAAGAGCTGTTTGAAGAATCGCTGTGTTGTCTGATACGTTCACCCACAAACTTAACACTAAGCAACAGCAGGCTTTGCCGGAAAGTCAGTATGCAAACCATTGGGAATTCACTGTATATACTCGAGTATAAGCCTACTTTTCCAGCACATTTTTTATGCTGGAAAAGCCCCCCTCGGCTTATACTTGAGTGAGGGTCCTTTTGTGCTGCCTGCTGCTCCTTCCTCCTCCACCACCCTTTTGTCGCTGTCGGCGGCGGGGAATGAGCAGCTCTTTCAGGCTGCTTGTTCTTCCTCCGCTGCTGCCACCACCAGCCTCTGCTTCTCAGCAGCCACCCTAGGTAGGCAGGGGACAGGAGGGGCTGTGGGGGAGAGAGAAGCCCCCCTCTGCCGTGTGTGCATGCGTGCGCACACCACACGCACCCCGGCCCACCAGGAGGTTTGTGGTGTGGTGAACCGGCTTATACTTGAGTCAATAAGTTTTCCCAGATTTTCTGGTAAAATTACCCGTATTTCGCTCCATAGGCGAACCTGACCATAAGGCGCGCCTAGTTTTTAAAGGGGGAATTCAAGGAAAAAAATATTTAAAGGGAGCGCTGAGCAAAGCCTGTATGCATCCCAGGCTCTGCTCAGCACTCCCTTTCACGAGCAGCATGGAGTGTGTGTCTGGCTCTTGCGGGCTTTTCTACAAGGAGGGAGAAGGGACTGATGCGGCCAGTCAGTCCCTTCTCCCTCCTGGGGAAAAGCCCTCAAGAGCAGCGCCGAGCTTGTGTGTGGCTCTTGGGGGGTTTTCCCGCCTGCCTCCCCTGCATTTGCTCCATAAGATGCACACACATTTCCCCTTACTTTTTAGGAGGGAAAAGTGCGTCTTATGGATACGAAAAATACAGTAGGGTGCCTCGGCTTATATTCAGGTCGGCTTATACCCGAGTATAATACGGTATGTTCACATGTGGCGGGGGTGTAAATATGTACATTTTTTTCCTGGCGAAGGGTGTTAACAGAAATCACTGGGTTAAAGCTGACCAAAAGTCCAGAGGTAACATTATTACCAATTTACGATGGGGTGGAAGGTTCGCAGGCTATGAAGGACTTGCTCACAAATTTATTGACAGCTGCGCAAATTATGATAGCTAGGAAGTGGAAGGGGCAGGCAGAATATAAAATGGAAGAATGGTATAAAGGGGTCTGGGATATAGCTATCAATGATAAATTAACATGTGCCGTTAAGGTAAGACGGGGAATATGCAGGAGAAATTATTTGAGGAGAAATGGAAGGTGTTTGTAGCATTTGTACTGTTAAAACGGAAAGGGTAAACCATCGCAAGAGGTGCTGAAATGTTGGGAGGTTGGACCAGTTACAATGGAATGGTCTTGGGGGTGTGGTGCACATTTTTATTCTTATTTATTTATGATTGTGACTTTGTCAAAATTTAATCATCATAATTATAATAATAGAAAAGAAAATTAATCCATTTTTTTAAAAAAAGTCTGTCAAGAAAAGGAGGGCTTATATAGCCATGAGGAATCCAGGAGGCTTGGGGTAGGTGTGGGGGGACTCTGCCTGTCAGATAAGGTGGGTGCCCCATCATTTGATTGATTGATTGATTTAGAGATTGCTGGCGTTAAAGTGTTTGGAGCACACTCTTGTAGATACAGATAAATATTCTGCCTTTGTCTTCCTTTGTGAATGATATTTTTAAAAAAAGAAAAGAAGAAAAGAAAAAGTGGATTTCTCCCGCCCCCCCCTCTTTTACTTAGACCGCTCCAAGAGCATGGTGATGGGGGACCCCCCTGGGCTGCCCTGCCGGCCTTCCTCCCCCTGCCGACAAGAGCCGGCGCTGAAACGTGGCTGGCTGAAGAAGCAGAGAAGCATCATGAAGAACTGGCAGCAGCGCTGGTTCGTCCTTCGTGGCGACCAGCTCCTGTACTATAAGAACGAGGATGAGGTCAAGCCACAGGTAAGGTGCCTCTGGGCTGGAATTGAGAAAAAGTAGCCAGCAGTCTGGTGGGTCTGCTTTAACTGTCTACATATAGGGTATTCTCTTGCACATCTGGCTGTGTCTGTTCTGTCCAAAGGCTTCTTTGGCGATCACTCGTAGCCGAGTAAGATTGTCTTCCATGAACACGGTCTTAACAGTGAGTCCATAAGTGACTGTGGAGGCCAATTCTGAATCCACAGGTCCTTCCACAGTGGGGACATAGGTTTCCGGGCTGGGGGTTGATCACTGTGAGGGTTTGCCAAATGTGCCTTTCTCTTAGCACATTTCTCCCTTTCGTCCTGAGTTCGAGTGTCTTCAAAGCCCATGACACCTTTAGTAAAGGCTGTTCTCCAATTGAAGCGCTCGCAGTCCAGTGTTTCCCAGTTATCGGTGTTTATACTACTTTTTTTTTTAGATTTGCCTTGAGAGAGTCTTTAAACCTCTTTTGTTGACCACCAGCATTACGCTTTCTATTTCTGAGTTCGGAATAGAGTAGTTGCTTTGGAAGACGATCATCAGGCATCCGCACAACATGACCAGTCCAACGAAGTTGATGTTGAGGAATCATTGCTTCGACAGAGGCGTAACGTTGGCAGCACACATGTTGTGGACAAAGGGCCAACAATGGGCACTAGGACTGGGCAATATATCAATATATAGCCCCAAACCAGTTTGTAGTCCATATTGTGGTATCAGTTTTATAATTTTTGACCTGGCAAAAATCATGATGTATGTGTGTGCCATGCAAAAATAACAATGAAGGGAAAACTGTGAAGCCAGCCAATGCCTCTACATATCTCCATTCTTATTTCAGACACCATGATATATGGGCACATCACAATGTTTAAGGTAAAGGTAAAGGGACCCCTGACCATTAGGTCCAGTCGTGGCCGACTCTGGGGTTGCGGCGCTCATCTCGCTTTATTGGCCAAGGGAGCCGGCGTACAGCTTCCGGTTCATGTGGCCAGCATGACTAAGCTGCTTCTGGCGAACCAGAGCAGCGCACGGAAACGCCGTTTACCTTCTCACCGGAGTGGTACTTATTTATCTACTTGCACTGGTGTGCTTTTGAACTGCTAGGTTGGCAGGAGCAGGGACCGAGCAACGGAAGCTCACCCCATGCGCAGGATTCGAACCGCCGACCTTCTGATCGGCAAGTCCTAGACTCTGTGGTTTAACCCACAACGCCACCCGCGTCCCTAACCACAATGTTTAAGCTTGGTGATATATCACAATGTTGAAAAACCAGATATCGCCCAGCCCTAATGCAGAAACCGTGACCCTTGTACACTTTCACAGCCTGGTTGTGGACACAGCCCAGTTTCCAGCACTCAAGGATGAAAGACAGTTATGACCTGACTATGCAGGGTGAAATCTCTGCCTGTATTTCCAGCTCACTGTGAAACAGGTGAAGTGCTGGTTAGCTGTGGAGGGGAAGATTGTGGTTTAAGGAGTGAGCTGGAAGCTGGATTTAGAGACCTGGTGGGCCAAATTTGGTCCAAGGGGCAGAGGTCCCCCATGCCTGCTATATAGGAGATAATACACTTGGCATCAGCTCACCAAGTAAGTGTTATTACCTTCAAGCAGATACATCCTATATTGGCAGCAAGAGGGAAGAGACAAGATAAGGCAGTTGCCTCAGGGTGACAGGCCCTGGGTAGCTGGGAGATGCAGTAGATCTGCCTTCAGAGCTTGTCAGCCACCACCTTCTCCTCTTCTGTGTGCATACCCTCCAACATTTATCCAATGAAAATAGGGATGTCCTATTATTATTATTATTATTATTATTATTATTATTATTATTATTATATTGTTTATATCCCACCCATCTGACTGAGTTGCCCCAGCCACTCTGGGTGGCTTCCAAACATATATAAAAACATAATAAAACATTTAGAAACTTTCCTGCCGTAGCTGCCTTCATTTAGTTAGTTATCTCCTTGGCTCGGGGAGTTCATAACTCCATG